GATTTTGTTTTTTTTTTTTTTTTTTTTTTTTTGCTTGTTACGTCACAGTTTTCTAATAATACTTCATCTGAATCCATAGTGGGAAAATATTAAAGACGTGATTTGAGAACGAACCCTAATTGTCTTTGCTTTGATAACTGCGTGTGACCAAACTGGACATGTCTTGTCCCCTTTGAAAGTAAAATTCATAATAATGATTGCTTGCTTTTTAAAACTGTTAATAAAACACAGAGAAATTTTAGCTTTGTTTTTCTAACCAAGTGTTGACTTCTTTTCATTCCAAGACTTGATGTTTATTAAATTGAAAGCATAATAAAACGTTAACGTTTAAACAACCTTTTACTAACGAAATTCTGTTGAAGTCAACGCGTGCAGCGAAGCCTCATAGCCAAACAGCATGCCCTAATGCAATCATCACTCATCCAAATAATAAGAAACCATATGAAGAGCAAAAAAGTGTTTCTTTGCGTACTTAGGGGACTACCATATTGTGGCTGATTTTTATTAAATTGTATTAAAATGTGTGTGTGTGTGGGGGGGGGGGCGGTCGATACTTTCATTTTGCCCCAGGCAGCACATGATACGCCTTAGAATAAAGGAATTAATTTGATCAATAATTAACTTTCTTAGGTACTTACTTATCGGCGGTAGGAAATGGGACGTGTACGTTTTTACGTGGATGACAATATCTTAAAATCATATTACAGTTGTGAAAAGAGATTTTTCGTTCTCTTTTTACAAATAAACCAATTTTTGCCAATTAATAAAATTAATGGCGTTAACAAATCGTGGGTACGTTTATATAAGTCGACCCATGAAAACCAAATCCAATCATTTTACACAAGGGAAAATTTAATTTTAAAAAATGGAGATGGGTTATGATTTTCTTTCAAAACATGAAAATATATCTGTGTTTTTACTTTGCGAAAAGAGAAGTGGGTGAGTATTGGCATGAGTTTGATAGCATGTCTGTAAAAAAGAAGCACTCAGTGCTGTTACACACTTGAAATCCTTTGATGCAATCTTTTTTAGGTAAAATAATTCTTTGTTTTACGATTTTCCGATAATATATTAGAAAGCAATGGCAAAACTTTGATTCAATTTTCAACGAAATTAGGAGTATTTCAAATTCCGTCAATACAAAAATTTATTTAAAAAAGAATGTAGAATTTTCATTGTATATGAAAGATTAGGTTTTCACAATTTTTAGAGAAACACAAATTTAGATAAGGGGCACGAAAAGTGGTTGGGTAGGCCCGACATGTAACAATTTAAAAACGCAAGACTCCTCAAGTATTCCTCTAGCATAGAGATCCGCCCTCAATGGACACTTGAGTTACAGTCATGATTTAATTAGTGATCCTTTAGATTTTGTCATTTAAGGTCATGTTTAGAGAAAAAAAAAAGTAAGTTAGAGGCGCGAAAAGGGGTGGGGTAGGCGCATAATATGCAGCAGAAAAATACTTATTTAAACGTTGAATGCTGTAAAACGTAAACATCATTACATAGATACTTCTTTTTAAAAGACGGTGTTGTGATGAGTTCTCGTGATAGCAGGTGGACATGATAGTAAAGTGCCCCACCTTGCCCCTACCTGCGGGCGCCCATGGGTGGACATGATAGCAAAGTGCCCCACCTTGCCCCTACCTTCGGGCGCCCATGGGTGGACATGATAGCAAAGTGCCCCACCTTGCCCCTACCTTCGGGCGCCCATGTGAGGACATGATAGCAATCATGGGTGGACATGATAGCAAAGTGCCCCACCTTGCCCCTACCTTCGGGCGCCCATGGGTGGACATGATAGCAAAGTGCCCCACCTTGCCCCTACCTGCGGGCGCCCATGTGTGGACATGA